TAATTTTAAATAAAACTTCTATCTTTATATTATGTTCTGTATATCTTTATATTATTTATATCTTCACAGCACAATATTAATTCATTATTGATTAAATATCATATACAAAATTTTTATATTAATATTATTAAAAAATTTTTTATTATATAATAAAATATTAACTTTATGTTAGGCATAGTAGGATGGTGGCATGATTAAATCTTGCAATACTGTTAATTGTTCTTCTGTGAAATGTTGTGTATATTCTTCTACATCTTTCCATCCATTATGAGTTCTTTTAAAATCATCCAAAGTTTTTTTAATTGTCATCTGTAATTCATAAAAATTTTATTATATAGTAATAATTTTAATTTTATTATATAATAATTTTATTATATAATTTTATTATATAATAACGTAATTATTATTTTTACATTCATGTTTTGAATTTATTAAATACTAACTGGTATAGGTTGTGGATCATTCATATGAGCACGAAGATGTTCAAAAATTGGAGGTACATATTTTGGTATATCATATGGATTAGCTTGTACAAATGCACACATTCCTATTATAGCTGCATGACGAATACGTAAAGCATCAGTTTTTAACTTCTTTTTTATTTCTTCTTTATAATTTAATCCTTCTTTTTTATATAATTTGGTTTTTGCTTTTTTTTTAAATTCATCCTAAAAAATTTATGTACATGCATATACAAATTAATTATTATAAATAATTATCACAAAATTTTAAGTTTACCAATAAACATTCTTGCTCAGGGATAAACATACAATGTATTAATCCGCTAAGAACTTTACCAGCATTTTTTCTTACTTCAACTCGCTCATCTTCCAATAAGCGTAAAACAATATTTTTTATGAAATTAACCCATGCTGGATTACTTAAAAGTGTACACATGTTATAAAATACCCAAGCTTGAAGGAATTCCAAACAAGCAGATCTTGTCCACCAAGATATATGCTTAGACATTTTTTCTATTGCCTCTAAAGCTATTGACATATTACATGGTAATGTAAATGCTTGTGCATATACCGTTAAAGCAGATGTACACGACTTTCTCAATTCTTCATCTATTTCACAATTTTCCATCTGATATATAATTGGAAATATTTGATATAATTCTGGTGGTAAACCATACCATGCACAATTCATATTTACAATCCATTTACAAATTGTCTTAAGTAATCTAATTGCTCTTTCTCTTTCTTCTTCATTTATTTCTATTTTTTTTAAATCATTTAATTCAACAATAGATATCTGTGAAGATAAATTTTTTTGTTGAATTTCTTTGTTGAATTTCGTTGCATTTTCATCTATAAGAGGTTGTAATTTTGGCACTATTTTATTTATGAAATCTTGTATCTGTGATACTGACTGATTGTTTGAAATATTTGAAGTTTTTAAATTTGTGAACACTGTTACTAAAATAGAACTCAATCGTTCTCTCATATTTTCAAATGGATTTGCTAATAATCTATCTTCTATTCGTTTCAATAAACGTTGTAACAATTCCAACACGCGCCACGGCTGTTTAGCAAGAGCTGTTTGCAAAATAAACAAACGACCCGATTCGATAAATGATGATTCTGATTCGCTAACACAAATTTCTTCCATCAGACATTCTAATAACCAATGTTGTCTATTTGGATCTCTATGTTGCTGAGCTGTAGAAAAACAAAGAACCCAGTCTGCAAGTGTTTCTGGTGTCATATTAATTAAGACAAGTTTTATAATTGGTAATAAAGAATCCCACATTTCACAAACCATATTAAATGGCCAATGTTTTGAACCCTTAATAATTCCTGCAATAATTTCGGCTGCACATCTTTGACTACTTTCTTGTTTATCTTTCACTAATTCATGTAAATGCGGCAACAATTTTTTTAGAAATATTATCCCATGATTGCGAAAAAGACCTTTGAACAAACGATATTTATAATAGCTAAATTTATCTTTGTCTTTTTTTGTTTCAAGACTATAAAATTTTATAAGTTTTTCGATATTTTGTGAATCATTAAAAAAGAAATCAATTTCTTTTTCATAATCTGTTAACTTTCGTACATTTGGATCTAAACATGGTTGTTGAGATGTTGGTGCATACATTTGAATTTTTTTTGGCCATGTGTAAAATCCTAAATATGCTTCATGAATAAATCTAGGTTCATCCCATTGTTCTGCACATAAGGGACGAGTTTCATAATTATATTGAAGCCAAGTATTATCTGATCTTTGCCCTAATATGCATTTCACAGATTGATTTTCTTTTTCTGATGATATTGGAGGATCAATAGTTATCTTGAAATTCAAAAATTTAAGTTTAAGTTATATCAAAGTTGTTTATAAAATAAATTCTTTCAAAATACTTTACCTTTGGATGCTGTCTTTTTTGTTGTTGCAACATGCATATCACTATTCGAAGAGCAATATTTCTTTCATTTAATGAATCATGTATTAATGTTCCTAAAAAGTAACGAATTACTTTTGGTGGATACATTTGTTCTGGATGAACCAAAAGTCGAATAAAATCTATTGCCATTAAACGATGTCGCCAATGTAAATTTTTTTCCAAAAGTGCATTTAACAAATCACTTATCAAAGCATTATAAGACACTAAATTACATTCATTAAACGCCTGAGCAATTTTTAAACTTTCTATTGTTTCATCCTCTGTAGGTTGAGATAAAGTAGTTTGTGAATTAGTTTTCCATAAAGCAGTTGCAATTTCCAAACATGTATTTGGTATTTTAAATGTAATTGCAATTGTTGAAAATTGTTTACTTATGAATCTCGCAATATCTTCTTTCAAACGAATTATAGATAATTTTTCAGATGGTTTAGAAAGCACCATAGTTGTCCATAAATCTCTTAATATATTCCAATCATGTTTAGTAAATGTTTCTTGAGAATCAAGTAAAACATGCAGAGCTCCCTATACAAAATGAAATATTTTAGAAACTAAAAACTTAACTATTTATTATTTTTTTATTATTATCATTCTTACTTCATATGCATCATGATCTGCTTCTGGATCCTCTTTTAATACATCAAGTAATTTTGGAATAATAATTCTACATGAAAATGGTAAATAATGAAAAGCTTGGACAAGAACATTTTGAGCTTGCCATCGCACACCAGCATATCTGCTAGTAGCCAATATAAATAGTTTTAACATTATCTCTTTATGAATTTCAGTTAAATTAAATATCTGTGAATGTGAACGTGTCACATGTTGAACTTCTGCGCGTGCCAATACAAAAGATCCCATTATTCCTTTTTTTCTTACTAACATATCTTTCATCATTCTATGTGAGTTTTCTACATTTTTGTTAACTTTAGAAAAGCAAACAGTGCCTAATAAAAGATAACCCCAAATCTAGAATAAAAATTTGAACATATGTATTTAATATTTTTTACTAATTTATTTTTTCAAATAATATATTTAAATAAATACCTTTATTAAAACAAATAAACTTTTTGTATCGCCTTC